AGTTTGAAATGAATCAGTGAATTATTATTATTATTTACACATTGTAAAAACAGATAAGTTAATTTAAGTGCAAAAAATGTTGAAACTGATCAAAATGTTTAGGTTAAACTAACTTAATTTAAGTCAAAAATAATATTCTTGATCAAGTAGCTTTATTAATTTTAAGTGATTTAATTTTGTATTTTTTATATGTACTGTAAAAACAAAATACCTAGTAAAAAGTTATTAATCAGGAAGGTTTTTTTTTTCACTCAGCAGGGTAACTCAATTCCAAGTCACAAAATCCAAGTTTCAGCTGAAAACATTCCGTTATATGTACATATAAAATATATCACATATTATATAGATATCTATATAGAATAAAGGCTTTAAACTTAACAGAATTAAAAAAAAGTCTTTAACATAAAAAGTTTGTTTAAAGGTGTGGCAACCAGTGCTGTACAACTAGATATAAAGACACCTTCTTTCCTCAGGCTGTGAGACTGCTAAATTCTTTCTCAACAATTCATCACACAAATTAGTATTTATTTTTTATTTTTATGACTCATTAAAACATTTTTATTTAATTTTTACAAGTAGGATAAAGGGAACTATGTCAAACTTTCATTCTATAACTTTCCCTTTAAAGAATATATAGAAAGTCACAGAAATGTTTGCATCCTGTTCGATAATCTGTAGGCTGTCATCTGTAGTTTGTAGACCACATTCGGATATATATAAACTTTATTATTATCAACCACACAAGATATGTTTATTAACAAATTAAACCTTCATTTGAACGTTAGCGATGAAACAGCTACAATCTAGAGTTAAATATTGAAATCACATTTTAAGCAGCAATGAACGGCCCTTGCAGTCTATGCATGTCAGATACCGTACAAGGCTTACGTCCTGTTACCAGTAGGTAGCGCTATGACTATGACTGAATATTGGCATGTAGATGTGTTCAGGGCAACATGATGTTTGAGTTTTGGTGCGCATTGGATAAAGTACACTGTAAAAAATGACCGTGAAATTTACATAAAAACTATGTAAAATCCCTACAGAAAAGTATTGTAAACCCCAAAACATATTTTTTGTTTAAATCACAGTGAACTTTTGTAAACTATTAAACAGAATGTTTTTGTTATATTTACAACAACAACACGTGCTTATAATCAAATTTATTTGTGAAAACAACAAATATTGGTAACAAAAACTGAGAAACACTAATACTCATAACAAAACAATTTTGTTAATTTGACATGCAAATATTGTAAAACCTATAGTTTTAGTCAGTTGTTTTGAAAAATACAAAAAAATATGTAAGTCACTTTACAAGTTTCTGCTGTACTTTTAACATGATTGATGAAACAATGCAAATTGAGGTAATTACAAAAAAAAAGTCATCGTGGACCCGAGAAGTTGCCTATAGGCCTATTCATATAGGCTACAATTATAATAACATTTGTTTGGAAGATTTTTGTTTCCCTCCTCACCTTGCAGCCCAGAGCCATGCCCCTTCTCTCCCCATTCATTTTCCCACTCAGTTCAATCATCTCCAATTAGCCCATGTCAATTACTCAATCACAACCCTTGAAAATAAAAACCTTTTTGAACTTTGGAACTTGTACTGGACACCCTGTGTTCTCACCGACACCCCCATTGGTCTCAAGCCAGCCCTTATAGCCCTCCTGAAAACCCTCCTCTTGTTTTTAGAATTTAGGCTATTTGTAGCCTATTGTAGAGTATAGGCTAAAAGAAATGAAAACTATTGATATATGTAAAGTAGACCTAATACTCTGTTCACTCCTAATCCTTGTATGCCTTGTGTTTCTTTTAGTCTTGTAATGTAATACTTAGCCTACTGGTTTATATTGATAAAATAATATTAACTTGCTAACGAAAACCTGACTAGTGTGGTACTTGGCTCTAGGGCTATTCGGTCAGGTGCTGCACTAGAGTGAGGAGGGTAGGCGTTCGGACGAAGGCAGTTAGAAGCTCGGCGTGTCTCCTCGCCACCAGCTTAAATAGTCTTTTTAACCTAATATGGTAATACTATATAGGCAAGAGGCTCGGACCCTTTATAACGGAGAGCTGGTCCAGTACCACCTATACGGGGGTAACTCGAATCTAACAGTATAATATACAGAACAGCTCCATTTAAAATGCAAAGTTTTACTGTTGATATACCAGTTTAAATTTGTTTTTTGTTTGATATTTCCCTGTTAATTGTATAATTTATTGATGCACAATAAGCAGTTATTACATGTAAAAAATACAGGAAATGGTCTATGTATATACAACACCGTTATGCGAAATGAACACACTTTTTTGTAGAATTAACAGTTTTTTAATGTGATTCAGATGTAATTTCATTCACTGTAAATCAATTTACATATTTCGTCAGTAAAGTTATCTACTGTGCTGCTGTATTTTTTACAGGAATTCTCTGGTAACCACAGCTGCCAGCGTTTTCCCGTAAAAACAAGGTTTTTTTTTACAGTGTACACTGAAGTTTCTCATGCTACAGACACGCCCCTAACCCTAACCCTTTTCATAACTTTTCATTGTGATGGTGTTTAGAGTAAGCTGATCAAATTTGTTGTAGATCCGATCAATTCTCTAGAAGTAGTTCGTTAAAAAATTACGCGTCCAAATTGCCAAAGATGGCCGTTATATCCAAAATGGCTGACTTGCTGTTGGGTTTGGGTCCAACAGGCTTTTTTTGTGCCAGACCCATATGATACGTCCACTTTTGCCACCATTGACATGTGTGCCGCCTGTCATGAGGACCAGAGCATGCAATTCACTTTGGTTAAGAAAACCTTCGCTGCACAGGCCCTAATTTGGAAATCGTGGTGTTTGTGATCAAAACTAACACAAAAACAGTTTGAGCCAGGCGTTTTCCATTATGCCCTGGGTCTTGCAGTCAGTGGAGAGCGTGGCTTTAAAAGCTGTGGCTGCGTCGATCTCGCTTGTGAGTTTATCATTGCCCACATGTGCACGACGTCAGAGCAAGTTGGCATCAAGTTGGACACATATCTAATTGGCATGTATTGTGTGGAAATCACCGGTGATCAATTCTGCACATGCCTGGCTCATCTCAAATGATCCTAATATAATAACCTTGAATCCTAACCATTTAAACAGTTACATTAAGGTACTTTGGTCTCCTTCAAGTCAGTTTTCCCAGCTCCTTCCAGCAAGCACTTAAACCTGTCTGAGTGGTAAGGAACTCTGGGAGATGTAATATGTGCCAAAGCAAGTGGAGTATTTAGGAATGCTTTACACAAAATGCATCATATAGCTGAAAACTCTCAGTAAAGCTGGTAAGTAGACATGATTTGTCGTTGTTTAGTGAAAATCCTAGTTGGAATTATCCTTTGGGTGTGAAGCTGTAAAACATTGTGTTTGGTTAAGATTAGGTACAACAACTACTTGATTAAGTTTTAGGAAAAGACAGTAAGGTACATAACTTAAGTAATTTACATAAGTAAACATAGCTATGTAACTTGGTTTCCAATGGGACATAAACAGCGGTCTCTTGGGTGAAAGTCCTGTGTTTGACTGAACCATCCATCCACTCCACCGCATCCTCATGCAGACTTTCTTGCTCATCATATTACATCTAGTGGACATGTCTATAAATTAGGCTTAAAGGACCAGTGTGTAGGATTCAGAGGCATCTAGTGGTGAAGTTGCAGATTGCAACCACTTGAATACAGCGCAGTCTTTCAAGCATATAGGTGAATCTACAGCGGACGCGAAACTCTGTGAGGAATTGTTTGGTTTGTCCCTTCTGGGCTACTGTACTACTACTGTAAAACATCTCATTCTAAGGTAGGAAATACACATCAGTTCTTATTTCCAGGTGATTACACACTAATTAAAATTGAATTGAATTTCTGAAAATAGATCCTCGACTTCAGAGTGAAACTTTGCTGTCCACGTGTTTTCCCTGATTACACAGTTGATGAGGTTTGCGGGTGCATGCGCATGTTTGTGGAGCCCGGGGTTAGAAGCATGTAGCAGGCCTTAGGGCTATATCTGACAGTTTAACTTTTTAACTTTTTTTCTCTTCAGAACAACTAGAAACACTTTCCTTTAGTCATGGTCATACAATGGCATGTAAACCTGTTCATTCCAGCATAAAAAAATTAATTTGGAGCACATGCATCAGTGTCTTAATTCTGGAGAGGTTGAAAACATTTTCATAAATACTTGATACAGATTGATACAATTGACCTACCTATTAGAGGCAGAGGCTGGAAATGGAAAATAATGTTGTTACGTTTGTAGCAGCAATATAAAGAAAGGAACGTGATGAGAAAAGTGTAACAAGATCAGCAAGATCGGGGCAGATAAAGATAGATGAGCAGGCCGAAAGAGAGTTAAAGGAGACATATTATGCTCCTTTTCAGGTTCATAATTGTATTTTGTGGCTCTACTGCAATAGGTTTAGATGTTTTAATCTTCAAAAAACACATTATTTTTCTTATAAAGCCTATAGCTGAACACCTCTGTCTAAATCGATCTGTTTTAGCTCCTGTCTCTTTAAGGCCCCCCTTCCGAAAAGCCCAGTCTGCTCTGATTGGTCGGCATTATGACGCGGATGACGCTCCGGCCCCGGCAGGTAGCTCCTCACTGCTACTGAGTTTAGCTGCATTTCTACCGTCAATATTAATTCAATAACTGCTTCTAAACCCAAAACTTCACCAGCGGACATGTTAGAGCGGGAGTCTGACCTGAAATCACAGAGAAATGAACAACAACAACAATCAGGATTACAGCTTTCTGTGACGTTTTCCTCAGGTAAATACTGCTATAAAAACCTCTATCTATCACATAATGTTAGTGTTTATACCTTAACTATGAGAACCAACACTGTGTTTTATGCTTGTCTTTCCAGGTACAGCAGTGAGCAGTGACCTACAGTCTACACAGCCCAGTGAAGTTGAACATATTATATGCCTGTGTAACGGATGTGGGTAGGGCATGTAAAGAGACGACTCAGTGACTTGTTTTCCAGCATTTATTTGCTCCTGCAGAAGACAGTAATACACATTAATTGCCTTCTGGTCCTTTTCTGCACCTCTGTTCCCCTCAACATGCACGGCGGCACTGTCAGGTTTCATTCCTTTTTTTTTCTCAAGTTACATACAAATACATTCATTTAATATTACAGTATATACTCAGCTCAGTGTGCACATTACTTGCCAAAAGCTTTTTAAATTGACAGGGAAACATATAACTTTAAACAACAAGTCTCCTCAAAACCATGAGACACAATATAAAAAAGGGATAACAGTGACTCCTGGTGGGCAAATTTAAACAGTGTGTGGATAAGAACGACTAAACAGAGACAACTAAATTATCACATTTAGCAAGGAAAAGCACATACCTGCAGAAGACAGTAATACACATTAATTGCCTTCTGGTCCTTTTCTGCACCTCTGTTCCCCCAACATGCACGCGCAGTCAGGTTTCATCCTTTTTTTTCTTAAGTTACATACAAATACATTCATTTAATATTACAGTATATACTCAGCTCAGTGTCACATTACTTGCCAAAAGCTTTTAAATACAGGAAACATATAACTTTAAACAACAAGTCCCTCAAAACCATGAGACACAATATAAAAAGGGATAACAGTGACTCCTGGTGGGCAAATTTAAACAGTGTGTGGATAAGAACGACTAAACAGAGACAACTAAATTATCACATTTAGCAAGGAAAAGCACATACCTGCAGAAGACAGTAATACACATTAATTGCCTTCTGGTCCTTTTCTGCACCTCTGTTCCCTAAACAGGCAAAATAACAGCGTTTACACTAAGAAATGGATACTACGGTGTCTGAAGTGGTACTTTGTTTACAAGACACGGGCGGTCTGCTGCGTTACAAATGGCGCCCAGAAAGTGAGTTGAAAACTTCTACAAAACTTATATTAACAGTCAAAACAGCACAAAACAGCTGGATAACGTAGCAGCATTAACGGTAACCATATTGTATTAGCGTGTACAACATAAACGGTTCATTTTCCAAAGAAAACAATAAAATAGCGCAGCAGCATTTCTCCACACAACTTACCCTCAACATGCACGGCGGCACTGTGAGGGTCAGTCGGAGCTACGGAAGCTTAGGAGGTACAGAAAAGGTGACGTAAAGCAAAGTGATTTCCGCAGGAAACATTAATAAAAATAACGGTAAATTAAAAAAACTCATTAAGATAAAATTCACACATATTCAACAATCATTAAATGATATAATATAATAATATATAATAATATAAATAAAATTGACAAATACATAAGGAAATAAGAATTGATAAAGTGCATTTTTAACTCTGTTACACCTGCAATACTTTATCCTGTACAACATGTCAACATAACTGAAGGAATCACTCATCTAATAAAGTAAATTGTTTATGTGGTTTAAAAACTGCTAAGTAACCAACTGTTAACGGTACTGTATCCATATTTCATAGTCTGATATTTTAACTTGAACGTATTATTACCAAAGTTAATCTTCAGATATGTGTGAAAGCTGCAATTATGTTTGAACCCCATTAAAAATACTGTATTTATATATATATATTTATATATATATTCTATCATTTATTATATGTTGTCATTATCTTCCAACATCATAAAGTTTGAATGTGAGACAGCAATGTATTGTGTTGCTTCCAGTCATTAATACAGGTTTAACATTTTCATATTGATAGATGTTACACAAACCAGGTTTTCAACTCTTGTACATCCAGGAAATCTTCATAAAACCTCTGAAATAACATGTTATTGATATAAACCACACTTATTACTGAATTTAAAAATGACCAAAACTCTTCTTAAAAGTAAAACACTTTATTTATGTTTCAGTCATATTCCAGTTACACATGTTGTAAGTAACAAAGCTAGAACTTTAATGTAAACTGTGCAGATCATGTCCTTCAGACTGTCCTGATGCTGCAGCTGTCTCTGTCCTCTGATGGGTCCAGGAACACCTGAGCTTCATCAGGTCACCTGTAAAACATGGAGGATTCAGTGTTACTTGTAAGGCAGCACATAATATACAGTATAAAAATATAATATAATAATATAATATAATATATATAATATAATATAATTAATATAATAATATAATATAATATAAGTATAATATAATACAGTATAATATAATATACAGTATAACATAATATACAGTGTAATATAATATACAGTATAATATAATACAGTATAATATAATATACAGTATAATATAATATACAGTATAATATAATACAGTATAATATAATATACAGTGTAATATAATATACAGTATAATATAATATACAGTATAATATAATACAGTATAATATAATATACAGTATAATATAATATACAGTATAATATAATACAGTACAACAGCTCATTGTGGCTCACAGTAGTCCTCAGTTATAATCTAAAATAATAAAGCAGTGTTTGACTCCACAAAACTAGTGAGCATCATAGTTACACAATATTACTAAACTAATGAATCCCTGCAGTTTGACTGTTTCTCTCTCACTGTAGCTCTAGTGTTAACTCTGGTGCACGTTGATCAAGTTCATTTATATTCAGTCGCACACACACACACACACACACACACACAGAAAACATTGCAGCTAGCCCCAGCTGGTTAGCACATTAGCTACACAAACAGAAAAGAATCATTATAACTCACTCCCTGTATTTTGGTAGTTTCTAACTTCGGCTTAACGATCACACTGCCCCTCGTATTACATCATAAAGTCTGACAGAGTCAGTAACCATAGTAACACAGTGACATCACAGAGCTGCTGTGTGCTAATCAAAGCTACAATGCTACCAAACTAATGACCTCCACTGCTGAATTTATACACGGTACAAGTACAGTGTCTTCTTCTGATCACAGCTGTATTAATTCAAACGGTGAACAGATACTGAGCTACCCAGCAGATTTGTAAGTTACCAGGTTAAAGACAATTAAAGCTAACTGACGTTATCTTCCCTGTTCTATGCAGCTCAACAAGCTAACAGCTGATGTTAGCGCTACAGTTTGTTCACTCGGAGGTTAACAGCGACACAAACATATTAATGACTGAGCACGTTTAACAAAATACAGACCAACATAAAGCCAATCCCCCCCCGGCACCAAGCTTGGTAATTCACGGCATAAACTTCATGGGAATCTCTATAACAATATCAGCAGGGGAGAATATGGAGACATCTGCACCAGCTGGTTAATACATTAACTTCACCTTTAAGTTTCATGTTCATCTTGCACACATTTAACAAACATTTAACAAACATTTAACAAACATTTAACAAACATTTAACTAACAATAAACGTTAGCATAAGGTGACCAGATTTCTGAAATGAAAATCGGGGACATTATCAATGCGGTGGTGAAACATCATTAAATATTATCATTATGAAATAAAAAACTCTTCTTCCTCTTCTCTCCTTCACTCTATTGTTTACTTCCTTATTTCTGCCTTTCCACACTATTCTCCTGCTCTTTTCCTCTTCTCTCCTTCACTCTTTACTATCAGTCTATCCTGTACTTGTCTCTCTAACTCTACAAGTTATACCTTTACTAACAACAGTGACATACAAAACAGTGCCTGAGGGCATCAGCTAATCACATGGTCTGCATTTATAACTACTACAGTCATTGGTTACCCACACAGCACTGTCTGGTGCCAGCCCGACACAAAATACAGCAGTTAGCCTAACACACACACACAACTATCACTATTATTCATTAATTTATTATTTTAACAGAGTCTCAGGTCCCTATGCCTACAGGAAAATCATATGCTACCAAAGCAGTCCTCCACCTCCCCCTCTTCCAAAACAGAGCCACATACAATGTCATCACCTGGTAATCTCATGCTAATGTTAACGTTCACTGACTTTTATAATGTTACGTTAGGTCTTCAAGTTCAGATAAACAATCATACTTACTTTAACGTTACATCACTTCACACACACACACACAGCCAAGTCTACTGCCAGTTCGTAATAACTGGTGTTTGAGTCTGCACGCATTTTTCCCCCATTCAGTGTCAAAATCTGGGACATTTTCGGGGGCAGCTTTGACTGGGGACAGGTCACCCAAAACGGGGACTGTCCCCGGAAATCGGGGACGTCTGGTCAGCATCACTGAGGCTCCTGTAGCTAACAATGGCTAGCATGTGCTAGCGTTACACGAACAATGAAAAAAAGCATAAATTCTTAAAAATACTTCCAGTTACTTCCTCTGCCGTCTCTCCACAGACCGTTGGTATGAATCCCTCTTTCAGGAACTCTAGCCGGACATTGTCATCAAAAATAAAAATAAATCCAGTGGCTCATACATATGTAGATTTGTGTTGGGCTGTGCAGCCAATGACTGAACAGTTTGTCTGCTGAAGCCTTTGCCCAGGCTTGAGGCTGGCAGGCAGCAGGCTGCAGGCTGCTGGCTGGGCTGCTTGCTTGTTCTCCGCTAGCTTGCTCTTTTATAATGACAATGGCGGAGCTCCGATAGTCAAGAAGGAAGTAAACTGTGGTCTGTCAATAACAGGGAAAACGTCAATAACGGGGAAAAATCTCAACAGACTGCTTTATCTCCTGTATTTTTACTGAGGCAGCCCACAAAAACATCACTGAGTCATTTTTTTTCACACTTTGCCTGCTGATAGGCCCTCCAGATATAATCAAATGATTAAAAAGTTGGTTTTGCATAATATGTCCCCTTTAAAAGTGCTCATTAAAATGAAGGGAAGAGGCCCAGACTTTGACTCAGTCGGCCCACTGAAAATGTCAAAGGATCTTAGAGCAGAAATAGATGAGGTGTGCTGCACACTGGTACGCTTACCAATGGAATTCTCATGATATTCTGCAAATCATCTGATCTGAATTTGCTCAGGAAAGGGGCTGAAGGATTCACACCAAGGGCAAAGTTAAAATAGTCAAATGTGATTGTCCATAGAGGTGTCTGAACATAACTTGAAAGAGAGTGATATTTGTATGTGGCCCACATGATATGACACTGCAGCTGTGTGCAGAGGCCCTGCGAGTATTGTGGTACTGACCATTATTATAAAGGATCAAATAATTCTATGAGTCCAAATGTATCAGTCGTGGAGAATCAATTAGCTGGATTCCTAGATTATACATCACAAAAGCAGAGCAAGTACATAAAGTGACTCTGTGCAGAAGACTCTGCTGCAGCTGGCAGTAGCACGTAGTAAGTGGAGCTTGGTACTGAGTCTATAACTCCTGATGGTTCAGTATTGATTCTCTTGCTTTAAAGGCAGGGGCGATGCGGAAAACCAAAGTCGTGCAAAGAGGAAGTGAGAAGCAGCATCTGCATTAATCCCAGTGAAAAAGTTCTTCAAGGGAGACCAACAGTTCAGTGACGGAATGAACTTTAGCTGCCCATGCTTGGAATAGGGTCTGCAGAAAATGAAGACAGCTTCCTCTCGAGACTGAGAGAGAGATTGAGAGCGAAAGCAAGAAGAGTCATAAAGGAAGTGAGGACAAATACAGTTGCTGGCAAGACTTGTGCATCAAATTAGGGCAGGACACAAAGGTTAGTTTGGTTGGGAATTTAGTACACTGCACGGCAAATGGTAAAATGCCATTATACCAGTTTTACTACATAATGGAGCTGTAGCTGTGAATAGTAAAGGGAAGACATTCACATTCTAAGGCAGATGCTTTTTTTCAAAATGTAAGAACTAATGTGAGCAATGTTAGGTAAAGATACCACACCAGGATATCCAGTATTAGAACTTGGTTTCCACTTCAAAATATGATGCTGTAGCTTGCCCTTTCGCATCATTTCTGAACGCACAGAGCTCTGTGGTCAACTTAGAAAGAATATGCAATGTTTGGTTAGACTTTCAAAATTAAGCTTAACATTGTGAAACTGTCACAGTTTCGTTAAGGTCAAGGTACAAAAAGTACTTGGTTAGGCCTAGGAAAAGATCATTAATAAAGTACCTGACGTAACTTAAGTTCAATAATAGAACGTAATTTATGTAACATACTTGAGGTAAGAACCGCAAGCTCTGTTGTTTTTAGCCATGA